CTGGCGGCTAAATTCGGCCCTATCACAAGAAAGCGTGGAAATGGCCCAGCTACTTGGCTGTTCTACCCGCTTAGCGGGTGATAACCATTGTCATAACTTGCGTAGCTGGAGGTACCCCCCTTATAACCACGGTAACCTGCTTACTAGCTGGGAAAACCGGGTATAGCCTACTTAATATGTCATTGAACATCCATGTGCAGGCTTAAGCTCGGCCGTTGGTATCCTTTTCGGGTCATTTCAAAGGAATAATTAAGGCAAAGCCAAGCGCTTTCCCTCATTTGACTAGTTGGGCACACCTTTTGCAAACAAAGCCTACCATAAGAGAGAGTATGTCCAGCAAACTCCTGATAGATCGGCCCAAAAAAGCAAAGTTTGCGACACGTTTGCAACAAGCAAAATGGGAGGTTCAAAGAGCCCAGAAGCGATCTTTGCCCGGCTTTTGTAAGGGGCAGACGCTTGTCGCTTCGTGCGGCCATCATTGGGCCGCTGAAGCATGGAAAAGCAGGGTGCTCATTGGCCCCGAGGGTGGAGCAGATTTAGCACCAGACCCAAACATGCTTTCAACCATCAATCCATGGTGAACGACGCACCCAACAGAGAATCAGAATGCACTGGCAAAGGGGCCAATATGTTCAACCCACTGTAATTGCATGATTGCACGAGCAGGCCCTGTTATTCCCCTGGCCCCAAATGATACTGATTCAAAAAACCATGACCATTTACAATTGAAACAGATCTCAAGTACATCCTAGTCTCTGGAACAGTGGCACCTCTGTGCGCCTTGGCACCTGACTCCGCTCAGCCACTCAGCCACTCAGCCCGCTCGGCCATCCGGGCTGCGGCCCTTTCCGTCGGAGCCCGAGTTGTCGCTCCGGGCTGAGCGGCTCCGATGCCGCCGGGGCTTCTCCTGATCCCGGCTCAAGCTGTTTGGGCCGGAGGGCGTGTTTCACAAAAGGGTATTTCGGGATGCCCTAAAAAATTAAGAGGGTGTCTTTGCCACACCTTGTGGGCGCCTTTTAAAGTAGTATTGGCTGGCAGTCGGCTGGGAAGACTGGGCTTCTGTACTCTGAAGGGGTTCACGAATCAAGTTCTATCATTGTTCTTCGAACCTGGAAAATATCCACAAAAAATACCAAAACAAAACTAAAGATTAAGTTACCAAAGCTATTGCCAACATTTGTGCCACTGCTGACTCCTTTCATGGTCTCAAAGCTTGCCATTCCAGAAAACCAAAGAAACGGCTAGCCAGAAACAGCAAAGTTTGTGCTACAATTTGTTTAAGAAACAAGGCTTGACAGGCTCGTAAAGGGTACCCCCCTTCAAGGCGAGCTACCCCCGTCTGATTAATCAAGTCCCTCTCCAGCCCTAGAAGATAAGAAAATTCAATATCCTTTTACTTTCCTATTGCAGTCCTGTTGGCCAGACAGGGGTCCTCAAAAAGCCGGATTAATCCGAGGGAGCCCCAGACAACCCTCAAAATCCGGTTTTCCCCAACCTTGTCAGGGGGGTGGTTTACTAATCAAGTTCCAACATCACTCTTCACGTGCAACGTGGCCCCCCCTATCCGGCTCGCTCCTGTGGCCACCGCAGCGTTTCCGACATGCCTGGGCCATGCAGTACTTGCAGGTCCTGTCAAATGGCGTCAGGTTTCCTTTCGTTTCCCGCTGGACACCAATCATTGATAAACATTCACAGGTGGTTATTTGTTGCCGGTGCATCTTCTGGCCATAGATGGTCATACTGGCATGTTTTGCCCCGCAGATGGAGGGAGGCTCATCATTCAACTTCGGACCTTCGGCCCCCCACCCCCAGTTTTCAAGCTTGAGAAGCCCGAGCCTGAAGGGAAAAAAAACATACAAGTAGGGAAACCCCAAAACGGAGCCCTGGGGTTAGTTTTGACCCATACCCATAAAAGTGGATCCCCCATTGGTTTCCCCTTGAAATAATCCCCAAAAAAGACAGCTCTTGACAAAGAAAGCGTGGTCCTCTTTCCCAGCCAGCTTCGCCAGCTGAGCGTTTAGAACCGGCGGCGGGCCCGCAAAGAGGTTCTCGTTCTGATCGTTGGTCGTCGCCTGATTTGTTGCGTCCAACGGGTCAAGGATCGAAGGGCACTTCGAAAGGGGCCGAAGGGGCAGCGCCTTCGGGTTCTCTCTCTCCGTCTCTCTCACTGTCCCCCACTTTGGGGGGCACGCTGGCCAAGCACCGAGGCTCAGAAAAAAGGGGGGAAAAAAAAAGACAGGCATTCCCGTCACTTGGTTCTGCTCACAGAACTCCTTCTGGCCCCTCAACCGCAAATCTGGATGCAGCCAAGGGCTCCATTTCAACCAGCTAGTTACAAGTTCCAAACATCCCCCGCGCCTTGGCCGCCTGGGTGATGGCCGCATGCACGGCCGCTGTGCCCGTGTGGATGCTGACCGCCTCGGGCGGCCACCCGAACTGCTCCGCTCCCCCGGGGATGCGGTCCGCATGGAGGAAGGAGATGGCGTCCTGCGCCCAGGAGATTTCGCCTCTCGGTTTCGCATTTCTCACCTTGCGTGCCGTTTTCCAAGCTACCACCGCGTTTCTCGACTTCTCCAAGAACCTCATCACGATGATCAAGGTTCAAATAGCCATCCAATTGTCAGAAGCTACGTACTAAAATGTTTGATAAATCTCAATGCTACTAAATGTCTCATGCTCAGCATGCGTGGGCGTGAGATGCAAACTCCAAAGCAATTTTGCCCGCACGACACGAACATGGAAACGCTATGCAGGTAGATTTACATACAATGCAGTCACATTTTGGCTGCACCTTGAAAGGCACTGAAGCAGTTAGTTTGGCGGAGGATGTTCCTGGCGCACTCCAGGTCGCTCCCCCTCAACTTGTTGAACTCCTCGCGCAAGACCTGCAAACAAAGCACCTGATACTTGAACGTGGGCTGGACGTGAGTCGCAACTCCGTTCCTGATCGCTACCTTGACTTGCTTCTCTCCGCTTTTGATGGCCGCTTCGTTGGCAAGTAGGAAAGGCATATATGTCTCTCCACAGAGCGAGAGCATGTCCATTACGCTCTTCGGTGGTCTCCAATCCGGCGACACATCATGAAGAGCATCCTCTGGAACCTCAAGCCCACTCAAATCGTCCACCTTCATCACCCATGCCATGACCGACGGAGTCTCCTGGCAAATCTTCTGAGGGAGTGGGTCAAATATGCTCTGTGTCAGCTGCCCATAGATCGCGAGGTCTCCTACCGTGGGCCTATCCCCGAAGAGGAATCCATTCCCCGCACTGACGCTTTCGTCGAGTATCTTGCAGACCTGACGCAGCGTGTACTCCATGGTATCCCAGTCCTCGCACCCCACCAACCTCTTGCGCCCCACTTGGCGCTCTGCAAACGCCCTGGCGACTTGCTTCGCCTGCTCACCCGATTGGGCCACTTGCACGCTTTGCAGGATTTGCCACTCGGCCCCGAACTTGGCATCGGCCTCTGTCTGAAACCGCCCTGCAAACATCACCTTGGTCATCCATTCGTCTCCGAAGTCTTCCAACAAGAGAGACAGGAATCTGCAGCATGCGTTGGCTGGGTACACACTTCGAGATACTCCGTCTGGATACGCATACTCTCTCTCCAACTCTTGAAGCAAGGGTGTCGAGTCATTCACGTAGCTTCCATCTGGCTTGACCAACACCGGGATCACGGGCGCCCGGAGCTTGGGGAACTTCTTTTTGAACACATCCCTTTGGCTCACACCCAGCTGGTGTGATCGTATCCATTTGTGCGGGATGTTCTGGTATCTCAGCACAGCGCGCACCTTGCGGCTATAGGGGGAGCCATCAGCACCCACCAGCTGGTACCATCCGAGAGTCTTATCCATGCTTCACACTAGCTGTCACACTTGGCCCCGTCCCACCTGGTCATCTTTACTCCTTCAACTTTTCGACCCCAAGCGTCTCTCAGTGACTCTACAACCTTGCAAACCCTGATCTCCTGGTGGTCTCGCTCGTGCACTTGTTTCGTGTTTCTCTGGTTCTCTGTCGAAGTAGCTTTCTCTTATTTCTATGCGCTCTCCTTGAAACGCAATCAACTGCGAGCCAGGAACAAGGGACGAGCTGAATAAGGGGGTTCTTGTAGGAAACATCACCTAAAGGGGTCCTATCAGGGATACGTGGCAAAACCACGCAGTGGTTAAGGGATCGGTTTTCAGTTGCAGGTGCCACATGCAACCGGTCCTTGTACAGCTTGGCGTGGAAGGCCATGAGGGCATGGTCATCTTTGTCCAGATCCGACATCCGGCTCTGATGTCCATGGCTCTTCCGGTAGGCTTGCCACACCAGGGCGTAGGCTCTGCCCAAGTTCTTTGCCTGCCAACATCCCGCGACTGTTCGCAGAGCCAGATATCTGTCCACGTGCATGTGTGCGTGTTACCCTCCATGGACGGTGACGAAAGAAATGAAGACTGGCGAATCACCTTCCTCCTCCTATCGCAGATGCTATCACATGCTAACATCTCTAGATGAATCACATTAGGAATGCAATGATAGCTGATAATGATTCCCTGTCCTTTCATCCTTCGCCCCGCACCCCCAAGTGGATGATGTCTGGGTGGGAGTTCCCTTGGAATGGACCCCTTTCCACAAAGAAACAGGGGGGCTGCTGGAGGATACTATATGTGTGTATGTGTATACATCTATATACATAAAACAAGATATATGTGTATATATATATATATTTATATATATATATACATCTATGTCTAATCCCCTCCAGGATGGGCCCTAAAACCATCCGGGCCTTGGCGTGCACCTTCTTGTGGATGCTCTTCCCATACCTCTCGCAGGCCGTGAACATCCAGGCCTCGAAGGCGGCGTCGGCCTCCTCCAGGCTCTGGAAGCCCTGGAACACCTCCTAAGAAAGCCAGGCGAAAGGTCGTCGCCGTTGCGGACAAACCATGCCTTCCAAAAAGCTCCTTTTTTGGTAGGGTGGAGGGAAAGGGGGCGAGGGAAGGGAAGGACTTTTGTTC